TTTGCGCCTGGCGCAGTCCTCACGACGATCGTCCTAGCACTCGACTCCAATGGAAATCGATCCGAGATACTCCCAGTAATGTGAATTGTATGGAAATTGGAAAGTTCTTATTGCGAGACGGCATACACCGCAACTTCCACCCTTTTCAACAGCAATTTTCACATTATTAAAAGACGATCTTAAGAAAAGTAATCAAATCTCGTATATAATAAAAAATGAAATTGTGTTTAGAATTTGTATAAAGATAACGAGAAACTTTGAAAGTTCAAAGAAAAGCTTTTCTTATCGCGATAGTTTCGCATTGGTCGTGTCAAAAGGCCGCGGGGGTAGGGTTGGGTTCAGTTCCAACACAGACAACGTTTTGTGAAGTCGTTCCGCGCGAACTCCCCCATTATAATCGCGAACCAGTAGGCAGAGACTTTTATGCACAATTACACTGGAAGAACGGAACATAAGATAGTAGTTAGTAAAAGAGAATGGGGATGAGTTCGGGGGGAGCTAATGCCCGGAATTTCTCGTAGAAAGAAAAAGATAATTGGTTACTGAAAGGTACGCCAACTCACCACCTTACAACGGAATTTAATTAAATAAGGATTATAGATTTTCCCGATGGGTTGAATGAAGATAATAACACCCCTCAGATCCTCACGATTAAAAGTAGTAATTGTTCGGTGACCCCACTTCAAATGTTACTAAGGATTCACAGATTTAATTTTAAGGATCGCTTTAATCTTATTTTAATCAATCATTTCTTTATATCTATTAAAAATTTTGTTGTTTTTTCTATTTTTCAATCGATCGCATCTGAAGCACATTCAATAACATCAAAATTGGAACGGACTGATAAATCATTCACATGAATTCAAATTATTTATATCAGAATATATACTTTATCTCATACTTATATGTAATGTCCATATGACAAGTGGAATGAAATGGAATGAACCTAAACAGAATGGAAATTTGAATCTTTCGGCAATGGTTGTAGGGTATACAATTTGGACGAAACTGCTACATGCACTGTAAAAAAGCACATAAAGTCATGGTTCCCAAAGGGCGTCAAAATCTAGGCAAGATTACTAGTGGTGAGAAAAGGAGTTGCTGACTACTTGTGCCATTGTATGCGCTTCAGGGTAAGCTTTACCTCCAGTTCTTGTTTTTCCGAGGAAATATTACAAGGATTTTGTGTTAACTGGTGCACCTCCGGGACCCCTTGGACTTGCTAACCCGTGTGGATGGATGAACTCAACTTGTGAAACCCCGCATTATTAATAATGGAAAATCACTAGTGATGGATTTTATCAAAACTTCAAATATTGTTTTCTCAAAAACTAAATGTTATTTTTCAAAACGGGTTGGTTCATTAAAAAGAGGACACTCTTATTAACACTTTGGGAAATTTTTATGCTTATATTCCAAGAAACGGATTTTATACGAATTTTTAAAACTTAATCGGCGAAAATTGCAACATTTTAAAAAAATATCGATCAGTTCAAAAATTTATTTCTCAAGAACTAAAAGTGATTTTTCAAAACGGCTTGTTGCATTAAAAAGAGGATACTTTAATTAATAATTGGTGATATTTCCACAAGGATCCTTCAAGAAATGAATTTTATAGCGAATTTTGAAAATTATCGATGAAAATTGCAACATCGAAAATTTTATCAAAACTTCAAATATTGTTTTCTCAAAAATTAAAAGTTATTTTTCAAAACGTGTTGGTTCATTGGAAAGAGGGCACTTTTATTAACATTTTGGGAAATTTTCATACTCATATTCCA